CATTTTAAAGTTACATGAATTTTCGGTAATAAACGGGTTTGTAAATATTTGATAAAGTTGTTCTCAACTCTGACAGAAGTAGAGGGATAATTAAACCAAGATATATAGTTACACCTTATTGCTGAGTTGCAAAGTAGCTGTAATCTAAAACTAGAAATACAACATTTGACAGCTCGTATTACTGGACAGCTTTCGTCTGCTGTGCCCTCAAAATGCCTCAGTTATCTCAGTGGTACCTTATAAGTACAGACGCATGTTTTTGTTGTAACCTTGCTATCACAGATAGAATAAAGGTAATCTATTTTATTTGAAGATGCAAACAAGATTTGTAATTTTTATTCTTGTCTTAAATAAAATTAAACCTAAAATGAGCCTAACTATGTCTTTATTTTACACAGAGGCAGTGTTATTTGGGTCTGACAGGTTTTTAAAGGATTTTACTGACCCTGTATTTTGAAAAGTGGATGCCTAAAATTAGATATCTCTCTCTGTAGCGTTGGTCTAGTTTTCAGAGGAACTGGAAACTTAAAGAAGGACTCTGCTGGCAATTATGTTTTCTGATGCTGACAGGACAAGCTGTGTCAGAGCAATCTGAAAACCCAGGGCTATTTTCAGTTTCTTTTGTTCTTCCTGATTCAAAAATATACCAGCACTTTTTTTTTTTTTACTGAATCTTAATAAAGTTCTGTATTAATGGAATTATTTATTTAAAGAATGTAGTTCTTTATCAAAACCTTTTTCTCTTTGAAGCATCCTCTGGAATGTTGGAGTGGTGAACTCCATTCAGATTAAATATTTGAATTCGGAGATCTAGTGTTCAGCACCAATATTTCAGATACCACTGCTGTGTGTTGCCTGCACAGAGAATGAGCTCAGTTGCCACTTTCAGACCCATGGCACTGTAATACCTCTGGGAGACGTGTAGGGCGGTTGCAGGCACCCGAATACCAGGCTCGGACACTTGGCTGCGCTTTGGTTTTTTTAATCTAAAATGTCTGACTACATGAAAGAAATAACTCTCCCAGTTGATTTTTATTAGTATTTTGTAGAAAGTCTGATTCAGTTGGTTAACTGCTGTCTGTTAAGACTTTCTAGGTGGCTACTAGCATTGTGTGCAAGCAGAAGAATCTTTTGGGCTACTTCAAGTAGCTTCTCAGCCTGTGGCGTGCGGGTAATGTTTCCTGCAAGCTAAGAGAAAGCAGAACACACTGTTGGTATATGGCACTGTTCACTAACTGCTCAGGTACTAGTGAAGGCCAAGGGCACAGCATCGCAGAATGGCGTGCTTCGTTCTTGTTTCACCTCTGACTCATGTTTTTAATGGGTATCGACAAACAAGATTAAGGAAGCAGTATTGAGCCACTGATGCATCATTCAGGAACAAATAAAAAATTTTGTTTCCCACAAAGGCTTTGAAGGTTAAAACTGTCTTGCTGTTCGATTCCTTCAAGATTTCCAACATATTTGTAGGTGTTTTGGTCTTACCTTTTTGTATTGAAATTCTGGTGCTAAATCTTAGAAACAACTTGATGCTGGGCTCAAGGTACATCTGACCTAAATAAGCACCTACCTTATGAGATGGGAAATTGTACCCTTGTTTTCTGACTGTAAAGGAAACACCATGTTGGACTAGCTCACGCTTAGACATCCACTGTAGGCAGATGGATGTCTCTTGTGTGGATTGTCACCTGGCATTTGTTTGATTCAAGACATGATGGAAATAGTGAACATAACTACTTTCTTCTTTTCCACATTATGTTGATAGCTTGTTCCAAAATTGATCTTCAAGAGCCTATCATATAAAATATGATTACCCTTAGGTTACATGTGAAGGGGATAGAAAGCGTGATAACTTTTACAACTGAAGTGGATTCAGACTTCAAAAACCAGCCCAACCGAGCTGAGCCCACCCCACTCACCCCTCCCCCAAACAAAAAATCGCACTGTAAATAAGGCTTTTTTTTTTCTTAATTTTAGAGTAAAATTTTCTGGCCATATAACTGATCAATATCTGTTACTCTAATTAAATTGTTCTTGTTGGTTTGTCTTTCTGTAAGAAGATGTAAAATATAACAGTGCTGACATTTACGTAGAATACACTTTTGTTGATCTGAAATCAGTTTTAAATCGTTGATACTATTTTTCCTGTTTATTCTTATTATAGGGCATTTCTTTACAACCTAATAAATGTAATTTTTTTTTTCCAGATCTGTTTTCTCCTGTTTGCTGTTCTCTACATAGTTTCCTACTTCATAATCACAAGATACAAAAGGAAAGCAGGTAAGCATAGACTTGTTAATGTATTCAAAAATAATTTTGTTTTTCAAGTAGGTAGGTGGTTCTTTTTCTGCCTCCCCAAGGAAAGCGAAAGAACTAGATACCTGACCAAAAGTGTTTCTCAGGCTGCTGCTTTATGGCAGCCTGGACTGATCTGGTTGTATATGCTGCTGTCTTGCCCTCTATCTGCTCCCTTTGTCCCCGAGCTGTGAGTTTCCGTCACCCTGTGTCCACTCTGGCACGTCTCAGACCCTTCAACATGCCTTCTAATATCAGTAACTGAGGAGGGACTGCACTGAAGCATCTCAGAAGAGGATCAGTGAGTGCTGTAGCTGGCAGTGTGCACTTGTGGAGTGGGTGGCCACAATCAGTTGTTCTGTTGTGGCCCTGTGGCAGCCTAAATTTTAACTGTTTTGAGAGGGGAGAAAGGGGAGAATTTCAAGTAGACTCCTTCCTCTGCCTCCCTTGCCTTTAGATCCTGTTCGCATTTCATGTCAGCTTTTCCAGAATAAGTGTCTTCAGGCTGTATTCTAGCACCAAAATCAAGTTCAGAGCTTTAGCTGATAAAGTGAAAAGGTTGCCAGTAATACAGAAGGGAAGTAGCAGATTTCTTCTAAAAATCCTGCTTTGCTCAAGTACAGCTATTTCAGTGTTCTGAAGCTGTTCCTTATGACCTCACCACTGAAGTCCTACTCCTTGAGATAATACTGTATTTTTTTTTTCCTTTAGAAACATTTTCTGTCTGAAACTAGTCTGTAGGGACCTCTGTCATTTTCTTCTGTATTGCTTCTAAAGACAAATAGCATAAAATCTGTATAAAATGGCAGGATCTTTGACTCTTGGCAGCTTATCTGGGACCTTGGTACTCAGTAATGCTCTGTCAGTCATGCTGGAGAAGCATTGTTATGCATGATGATCTTGTTACTTTGCACTTCAATGGCAAATGTTTATTGAGCTATAGTGACCTGTGTTATGACAGAGCTGCTTTCGTAGGTTGATTCGTGTTTAAAAAAGTAAACTCTTCAAGAAATTTAATACCTTAAAAAAAAAAAATGCACACTCTTAAACATTGGAAATAGTTCAAGTAAGAAGGATACTATCTTCTGATTCTGATATGTATTTTGTATAGAAAGCTGCTACTATTTGGAGATAGGGAGAGGGAGCTGGTCTGGCAAACGCTATTGGATGTAAAGACACTTCTATTACCTTTTTGGCAGTTGATCTCATCAGCTGGTGAGAAGAACTTCTCTGAAACTGTCCTGACTTTATGAAAGCTTTGTGAGGTGAACTTTGTAGCCTGCTAGGTCTTCCTGATGAGACACACTTGAAGAGTTAACATGTCTGGAATTCTTTCAGGACAAATTGTTTACTGTTTCTACAACAAGCTCTTTAGCCAAAATGGGTCGTAAGAGACCTTGACTTAGTCTCTCAAAACACAATAAGATTCCAAAAAACAGAAACAGTAACCCGATGTACTTTCACAGAAGAGTTTCAAAATAGCATGATGTTAGCGGCTACATGTTTATTTCAAATGTTTACATGACTCTTAAGAACTTGAAACACTTGGCTTTATTTATTCTTAGGTTTTAAAATAAATTTGAGTTACCTCCCATGGAAAACCTTAAAAGAAGAAAGCTGACTCTAAAATTATTCCAAATGTAGAAATGCATACATTTGAGTACAGATGTGCGTGGAGAAGGATACAAAACATAAATGAAGGCTGTATTAGTGATTACCTCCGAGTTAAATGTTGATAATATTTCAAAAAGTTGGAATATTAGCTGAGTGATAATAAGTGATCAAAAATGGTTAATATTTCAAAAAGTTGGAATATTAGCTGAGGAATAAGTGATCAAAAATGGCCTAAAATGTGGAATATCAGAAAGGAAGCCATGGTATCTTAGATCTAAAACAACAAGAACAACAGATCTCCTTTCCCCCTTCCCCCAAATCTCCAGGAGTCGAGATGAATAAGGGGAAGCAACTGAGTGGCCATCACTACTGTTCTGGGTATGCTTTCTTGTTTTAAAAATACATTAATACTGAAAATGAAGCATCTATTTAGGGATTTATAGTAGTAGTTAGTATGGACCCTAAGACTCCTGTAGCTTGCCTGCTCTCTGTGGTTTCAGAGATGCCCAAAGAGACAGTTCCTAGCAGCAGCCACGGTGGTAGTAGTCTGGAAGCTTGTTTGCTGTAGAGCCCTCTGGAAGATGTTTCCAAGAACTTTTGATCTGCATGTTTAAATGAAGTGAAAGAACTTTGTAGTTACATGATTGAAAAGAGTTTAAGACTAGCCAAAAAAAAAAAAAAAAAGGGGAATATTCATTTTTGGAAGGAATGTTTTTCAAATATTGATGCTAATAAATTGTTTTAGTAATTCTACATTTTAATTTACGTTTGTAAATTAAAATGTAGAATTACTTTTATGTGTATACGTTTTAGCCTGAGGAAAGATGACTAAGTATTGAATATAACCTGCTGTAATTTAATTTTCAGATGAGCAAGAGGATGAAGATGCCATTGTTAACAGAATATCGTATGTATAGCTCTTTTGCAGAACTTTTTTTCCCTGAATATATTGTTATGATAGGAATCTTGTATGCTTCCGAATAAATAACAGTACATTTCAAATGTGACAGCAAATAGATTTCTAGAGGGCAGAGGAAAAAGATTTGATCAAGTGGCACATTGTATTACGAAAGGCACGATGAGGCAAGGCAGTTTCATCCAGGGCTTTTTTCACCTATGATTTTCCTGGTAGGTGTAAGGTTGGCCAGAATATTTAATGAGGACCTGGTGGAAGAGGTGGAATTCAGTCGAAGACCTGCACCTAAGTTTAGGTCTCTAGGTGTTTATGTGGGGGGGTAGGTGTTTAAGTTCCCACTGCAGTTGATGGAAGCCCTGTTGAGGGAGGCAGTGGATCCTGGACAGAAAGTTAGCTCGCCCTGGAGCAGCCATCTGTATTTGATCGTCTTAAAGAATAGCAAATGGAAGACAAGCACTTGCCAGACCTGCTGGTCTGCGGGAAACTTCTATCTCCTCTTCCTGTTCCTTTGTAAAGCTAGATACTTACCTTTCCTATTTGGATATGTCTGAAGATTTACAGAACATCTGTGAGCTGTTGCTGCCCTCTCGGTTACGTGATTTGCTAAACTATGTGGACTTGCTACTTGCTTATTACAATGTTTTTAGCTCTTCCACGGTGGTGCTGTCATCCTCTTGGAAGGAGAGCTCATTGAGTATTTTATTGATTTGTCTTGTACCCTGGGAAAGTGCCGAGTACACTGCAAGCTGTTCACTTTCAGTTGTGAATATGTGACAAGCTTGAAAGCTGTACAAAGCTGATGTAAATCTTAGGTGTGCTTCTCCCAGTAGTGTCTGATACCAGTATTTTTTGTGAATTTGAAATACTTATTTGCCACAAGGTCTACTTCAGGTCTAGAGAAAAATACGCACTTTTAAATGCTATGAAGCTCTTCCCTCTCAAATAGAGGAGCATCTTGTCTGTGCTTCCTACAGTGAAGGCTCTTCTAATATTGAAGGGTCTTCTAGATTGAACGTTTTTCATGGCAGCTGTGGTCTTAGCCTCATTCTGAATTTTTCAATATGCAAAGAGTAAAATTTGTCTTGGTAACTGTTATCCCCCTGCATCTATTTTCTAGTTTAGCTTTAAAATACAACAAATATCAATTGCAAATACTGTGTTCTTCATGCACAAACAATGTAAGACAAGATTAGCCCTCCCATCAGAGTAATAGCCTTTCCTTTGTAAGTGTTGTTATAAAGTGCTTCTTGTTCTTTCAGCTGAGCTTTCTTGTTCCTTAAGTGTGCATGTTATTTTCCAAAAAGCAGTAACTGTCAAATGCAGTTGCAGATGGATATTTCTTTGCAGAGCATAATTGTCAGGGCTTGAGAGGTGGGTGGGGGAAGAAAACAAAGCCAAACTGCTGTAGCGTGTTGAAAGGCTGTAGTGTGTTAGGTTTCACAGTTCTGGCTTAGGATACATAAACATCCTTAAATAAAAGAAAAAATATCTCAAACAGACAACAAAACCTTTTTTTTATGAAGAACACACTTCTTTTTAATACCACAAGATGGCACTTGATGTAAGCTGTATTTGGCATGTAAAAAGAAGGCGCGTAAATATATTTTAAATAATTCTGACAATTTCTCTGTGTTGACTTTACAGCTATTGGAAAACCCTAATCTATGAGATAATACTGAAGTAACTACTTTGTGAAAGAAAAGCAATATTTTTTCAATTTGGTTAAAATATTTATGTATAATTGTACTCACTTTTTAGACATTGAAAAGCTGCTCTGCTTTTAAAAATTGTAGTGTGTATGTGGAAAATGAAAACTAAAATAAGAGATTTTTGAAAAGATATTCCATGAACTCCAGTAATTTAACCTGTGTGTGATACTGGGATTAAATGCATGCAGGTCCCAAGAGAATAATGGTGCTAGATGGTAAAAACTGGTTATTTTTACTGGATTCTGTAAACTACCTAGTGTTTGAAATTTGCTTTTTGGAAGTGAAATATTGTGGAAATCGGTTTCTCTTGCCCCTTTACAATGTAAGAATGTGTTGCCTTCAGACACTGACTAATAGGTAGGCTAACTACTTTTTTTTTTCCCCCTGTTCAGAGCATGTTGGTGATAACAGTGGTACATTTCTTTAAATTTCAGGCTGTTCTTGAGCACCTTCACTCTAGCAGTTTCAGCTGGTGCAGTCCTGCTTCTACCTTTCTCAATAATCAGCAATGAGATCCTGCTTTCTTTTCCACAAAACTACTATATTCAGTGGTTAAATGGCTCACTAATTCATGGTTAGTACTCGGCATAATGTAATTAAAATGGATGTCTTGATTATATGTGCACAGATATGTTCTTATTTTTAGACTAATAAATCCATTGTCATTTAAGATGCTAATTGAGTTAATATGTTACTGGCTAGTTGGTTTTGCTGCTGTGTAATATGTCACAAAAGTCTCTCAGCTGTTTTATTGTTTTTTTAAAAGAATTACGTAGACTTGAAATTAAACCAAATTTACTGCTTTGATTATTAATGTAGAATAAGAGCTAACAGAAGCTAACTTGAAAGCAGACTGTTCAAACTTCTTCCTTAATGCAAGATTCATAAGCCTAACTCTATGATAATGCATATTAATTTATTCTCAAAATAAAAAAATTGTTTTAAGAAACTTCCCATGTGTGAGCAGTTGGGATTAGATAGTTAAATTCAACTGTTAATGACTTGTTTGTAAACAAGGAGAATTAAAGAATGTAAGTGTATCGAGTGTGGTAAAGAGGCGCACTAAAAATAAACTATTCAAGGAAAACAAGATGCAAGGAAAGAATATTACTTTTACTTGCAGTGATGGTGCCTTGGTGTCTGGCAGTGATTTTGCTTGCTTTCCAATACTGGTTAACATGTTTACGACTATGATGTGTATAATGGATACTAATATTTGAAAATAATTTGGACACTTCTGTGTGTTGAAGGGAAATAACTGGTGGAAACAGGATGTTCTTTAGTAGATTTGGCTCGAGAAAGGTGATAGTACCTTCACTATGTGAAACAATTTATTTAATCTGGAACAAATAATTTACAAGTTAACTATGCTGTCCTTTTTCTGCTCTTGTGAAGAGATAGTAGTTGGGCTTTGGAGGATTTTTCTCTGAAAAACACAGTTTTTGCTAAATGTCTAATGATGCTCAAAAATAGCAAATTAATGAATTTCCAGGTCCCTGACTCTTTTTTTTTTTTTTTTTTTTTAAGATTAAAGAAGTTTACAATAAATTTGGAGAAGTGAAGACAGGAAGTAATGCATATTGTCAGTCATATTTCTGAAACTAGTTGAGTATTTTTTGTGTTATCTGTGAATTTTTTTTTTAAAGATTAAAGAAGTTTACAATAAATTTGGAGAAGTGAAGACAGGAAGTAATGCATATTGTCAGTCATATTTCTGAAACTAGTTGAGTATTTTTTGTGTTATCTGGACAGTAAAAGAATTTTTTTTAAAACCCAAGAATAAGGAGGAGCTGACTGTAGGCGTGGTGGTCAATGGTGACCCTGACTGTGGTGACAGAGTTGTTTAAGACCTGAGAAAAGCAGAATAAAGAGAATAGATTTTGAGAGAGTAGACTTTGTCCTCTTCAGGAGATGTGTATGTGGGACCTTACTGGAGAATGCCCTGAAGGCAAAGGGTGCAGGAGACAGGTGTCCAAGGATAACCTTCAGGCACCATAATGTGCACCTTGGTGTGCAAGAAGATGAACAGGCCCTGAAGGCAAAGGGTGCAGGAGACAGGTGTTCAAGGATAACCTTCAGGAACCATAACGTGCACCGTGGTGTGCAAGAAGATGTAATAGGAGGTTGACTTGGGTTAATGGGCAACTCCTGAGCTCAAAACAAGAAAGGAGATGGACAGAGGCTAGAAGTAGGGGTGAACTGTCCAGGAGGGTTGTAGCAGTATCACCTGGGTTAACATCCTGGTGTGAGGTTAGGAAAGCCAGGGCACAGCTGGATTTGCAGGTGGTGAGTGGTTTGTATAGAGCCAGCTGCTTCTCTGGAGTGTGCAGTGAGAGGCAAGAAGCAATGTTTGCAAGGCATAAAGCAACAGTTCTTCACAGGAGGGGTGGTTGAATGCTGGAAAAGGTTGTCTAGAGAGTCTGAGAGATCTAAATCCTTGGAAATTTTCCAAAACTTAGCTAGTTAAAGCCCTAAGCAACCTGATTGCACCTGTACCTTAGCTGTTTTAAGCAGCAGGTCAGACTACATGGCTTTAGAGGTTCTTTCTAGTTGAGTTATTCTGTTATCTGTTTTTTCACACATCACAGGGGATTGCTTATTTGGTATGCTTCCTACATGGAAGAAAAAAAAAACCCAGCTAATTCTCATTTTTCACATGGATTTAGCTGCTCAGACAGATTTATATTCTTTATTCTCAAACATAAAAAAAAAAAGGGAAAATAATACTTCCTTCTGTGTCTGAATTCACTTTGGAAAAACTGCAATAAAATATTTCAGAGAGTGCAAATTATGTAATAACCAATTCAGAATTTGTCACTGTCAGAGTTGCTAGTATACTTGAGAAAACTTGGGTTAATTAGAAATCTGCTGGAAAGAGTAGCTATCACAAAGCAAGTCCTTTGAGTTTTCCAGTGTCGACGATCTTTTGATTTTGATACGATCTTTTGAAAGTACTCCTTTATGCTTGCACAGCATAATTTATATTTCATCAGTCCAGTAGTAACGGCTAGCAGGGAAGTCCATTCAGCATCTTGGTGTTTCCAAGTTTGTCTGTGTGTTGCAGAGCTTATGCTAGGGATAGACATGACTGAACTAAACCAAGACTTACCACAGTTGGTGTGAAGGCTTCAGGTGCATCAGTACACTATGAATCTGATCATGGGCTTCTGATACTGCGGTGGAACAAAAATGAATGTCCTTTGGCAGCGCAGTGCCTTGGGGAAGGGCTCCCTCTTGTGGTGCTCCCTAGGTTTGCACAATCGCGCTGCCCTGCTCTGTAAAAACCTGTTCCGTGTGGTGGCCATAGCTTTTTGAGGTTAGTGATGAAAGACCTGTGCAGGTTTTGGGGGCTGATAGTGTTATCACAAGCTCTCCAGTTCAGAAAATGTTCCTGTCTCCATAATACTCTGTCTAGCATAGCCTTCAGGTACGGTTCGCTTGCTGCTGTACAAATGTTATCAAATGGGAATATTTGTGTTGCTCTAAAACACTTTGGCTTTGAGAGATTTACCGATTACAGATATAGTCTGAGGTATGGATGTAATATTAAGGGTTTTTAGACTGTTGCATTGGTTGTGGCATATATCAAGTATGTGCCTCTAATTTTTGAAACTAGGCAGAAAGCCCATACCTGGATCCAGTATAAACACTCTTGCCTAATGCATGTTGAACTAAACCCAGAAATATTTCTGACAGCTGGATGTTCGCTATGGCTGTTGTTGGATACAACCACCAGGTGGGGGTAAAATGTAATGAAACTGCCATGAATAAGAAAGACGAGAAATTGATGAGAGGATCTAATCTGTTTGTCAAAGACTGAGATATTTTTAATTTTTATGTTTTATTAACTTGTTCTATGGGAGATATTCTTAGGTCACTACAAATGGAAAAAAAATTTAAAATATTCCAATAGACTGTTTAAAGTGTTTTTTTGTGTTGATATCTGCAAGTGTGTCTCATGCAATTTTATGATGTAGTCAATACAGTAGGAAATAATTATTTTTCTGGGTATATTTTAATCTGATTTTGGAGCTATCACATTGGGATAAGAAATACAGTAGGGGAAGAAAAGAGCCCTGTATGTTCCTTACTTTGAGGAAGGTGTATGTATATGTTGGCAGCAGTACAGCGCTGTCCTTACTGCCGATAAGTACAGAGCTACAATATGCATGTAAAGTTTAGTATTCTGTAAATGTGGTTGCAATCAGCTGTTAATGTGTAGATTTCTGGATTTTAACTTCTTAAAGATCACCCTGGCTGTGCAGCACTCTCCTGTCCTGTAACATGCTCTGTACGTACTATGCAGCTCCTACGCACTGTTGTACACTGCAGCTACACACGTGCGAGCTGCTGAAATGAGGACAGCCAAGTGTTCAGCTTTGCATTAGGGAACTGAATGCGGGGTCTTCAGTGAGAGAAAACTGCTGAAATAAGGCCCCCACCCCCATCTACTAGTATTTCTACTCTAGCACTGGTGTCTTAATTTTCTGGAGAAAAAAAAAAGTACACAGACTGCTTGAGTTAATGTACCCCTGGTAAGGGCTGTTAGTGACATTCTTGCTGATGTTGCTATGCACGAAGGTTTCTTGAATGGTAACAGGAGCTTCCTGGCTAAGCAAATTCAAAAGAAAAAATCCCCCTCTTTGTTAACTGGAGTGTAGCCACCTTTAAGCAGTCTTGTTTTCTTTAGCAATTGAGTATTATATTTCATGCATCTTTTGGAATTTTCTTGTTCTATTTTCTGTAGCTTATTTGGCCAAGTTTGGTTCCTGGTGTCCTGGTGCTATCAGTTGCTGAAGAACTAGATTTCTTGGACTGTCGCCTCCCTCCTCCCCCCTCATTTTTATGTCTTCTTGAAATTGAAATAATTTCATTTGAGGGAAAAGGAACTATATATGGTGAAAGCATTTTTTTAAGGGGGTGTAGGTGAGGATAACAGCTAACTATTTTACGTTTGGAACTAAGTATTTCTCTCAATAATGAATTTCCCAGACATCCTGTAAATGTCTCTTTCTTCTTTCCAAAATGTACAATTTCAAAGAAATTACAGTTTCAAGCCTGTTCCTGAGAAGAAAGAAGTAAACAAAGCTGTTAGTTCAAATTTTCTTCTTATGGGGGATGTTCTTTTTTGGATTTCGGGTGATATGATATAATCCTGCAGAATTATGGAAATGTGTGTATTTTGGGGAAGGTGGGGGACTAGCCTGTTTTTCTCAACTACAAAATAAAAGCTGTGTTTTCAAGATGCAGAGCATGTGACACTAGTTAAACCTGTTGGCTACTAAATAGCAGGTAAGCTTCTGCTTTTATAAAGAGGAAACACTGCATCCTGCTTTTGATAGGATGATGATGGGTTCCAGTTTAGGCACCAGAAACTGGTTGTTCAGAAAGTGAACAGTCTTAATAGAGCAGATCGCCTTAATGGAGATCAGTTATCACTTCAGGTTGTTCTCTAAGCCTTTTCCCTTCCTGCAGATGTCACATGTGTCTTACAGATGTCCTAGTTTTAGTCAGTTGTTGACTTTTCACCTAGATCACAATGGTTGAGGTTGGAAGGGACCTCTGGAAATAGGCTAGTCTGAGCCCCGTGCTCAAAGCAGGGTCAGTTAGAGAAGGCTGCTCAAGGCAGTGCCTGTTTGGGTGTTGAATATGTTGAAGGATGGAGATTACAAAACCTGTGTGGGCAACCTGTTGCAGTGTTTGACTACACTCACAGTGGAAGAAGTTTTGTTTTTTTTTTTTTCCTCTTATTTTTAAGTAGGTTTTCCAGTTTTTTCAATTCATGCTCATTCTCCATTCACTGGATACCACTGTGAAGAGTCTGACTCTGTTTTCCTTTTCCCCCTCCCTCGTTAGATATTTATATACATTGGTAAAATGTCCCTGAGTCCTCTCTTTTCAAGGCTAAACAGTTCCAGCTTTCGTGGCCTCTCCTTGTAGGACAGATGCTCCAATCCTTTCATCATCTTTGTGGTCCTTTGCTGGACTTGCTCCAATATAGCCATGTCTGTCTTGTATGGAGAAGCCCACAACTGGATGCAGTCCTCCAGATGTGTGCCACCAGTGCTGAGCAGAGAGAAAGGATCACCTCCCTTGATGTGCTGCCTACCCTTCTCCTAATGCAGCCCAGGATGCTCTTGGCTGCCTTTGCAAGGGCACGTTGCTGACTCCTGTTCAACCTGGTGTCCAGCAGAACCTCTCAGGCCTTTTCTACAAAGCTGGTTTTGGGATGATTGATCCCCAGTGTGCTCACTGCCCATTTGTCCAGCCTGTTGAGGTTCATCTGAGTGGCAGGCTACTGTTCCTCCCCATCTTGCATCTTCAGCACACTTGCTCAGGATGCACACTCTCCCATCATCCAGGTTGTGAATGAAGATGTTAAATCCAAAATTGACCCCCTGAGATATACCACTGGTGTCTGGCTTCCAACCTGACTTTGTGCTGCTGGTCACAACCCTTTGCACCCAGAACCTCAGATAATTTTCAGTCCGCCTCGGAGTCCACTTACCTAGCCCATACTTCATTAATTAGACTGTCAGGACATTTGTGGGAGATGATGTTGAAAGCATTACTAAAGTTGAGTTAAACCACATCTACTGTTCTCCTCTTGCCCACCAAGCCAGTCATCTCGTTGTGGAAGGCTGCTGCTGCTGTTACAATGATACCTTCTAATTTGGAGGTGATGACGGCATTTGTGTATTGCTCATGTTAAAATCCCTGATTTGTCTAAGTTTCTTTTGAGGAAAAATATGGGAGGACATGAGTACACAGAACTGAATTTTGTGATTCACTGATAGCAGTAAAATACTTTAGTCCTGAAAAATTTTTAAATGGTTGTCTAAGAGCCTTCAATGGGATATTGTGGAGGTAGTCCACCTGAGTTTGCAGTCTGTCTCCCAAGATTTCAGACATTTGCTGCTATTGAAGTTGGTATTCAATTTTTGTTTGAAGATCGTTATGTAGAGGAATGGGTATTTTTCGGCAATGACCTGTAAATAACCATGTATCCATAAAAATCTGGCTTCTGTTAGCACTTGTATGTGTACTACATTGTTATATGTAAGGGAGGAAAATGTACTGCCTTCAACTTTTAAAGCTGAGAAACTTATGTCTGCTTTTTTCTTCTTTGTTGCAGGTTTATGGAATCTTGCTTCTCTTTTTTCGAATTTATGTTTGTTTGTGTTGATGCCCTTTGCCTTTTTCTTCCTAGAATCGGAAGGATTTGCTGGCTTAAAAAAGGTAGGAAAATACTGTTAAATACAGCCTAATAACAGTATATATTCCATTTTCAGCCCTTGTTTCCGATGGAACAGACTTACAAATTTGGGAGCATTTGGCACTGGCATGTGTATGCTTATGTGAATGTGTATACACAGATGCATGCTCTTCTGCAAGCAGGTGAAGGGAGTATACAGTGTGTGGCTGTGAGTAAGCTGAAGGGGAGGGGGAAGTGCTTGAAAAGCCACATATACTGAAATCAAGAAAATGAGCTTGTCTTTTTTGGTAATGAAATGTTTTGATCAAGATTTTATTTACTGGAAAATGATTTTGAGGTGCTAAAAGGGAAGAAAGAAAAAATACACTAGAAAGTAAGTAACAAGGGAAAGTAGTACAGGCTTTTTACTAATGGGAAGGGTGATTATTAACACATGACGCAGAGAAAAATAGCTTGATTTGTGAATTTTAAAGATTATAAACATCCCAAAAAAGGGTCAGGTGTGGTCGGTATTAATAATATGTCAAGAAAACTGTCTTAAATGGGTAGAGAATAACTAAAAATATTCAACTGAGTTGAATATATTCAAGAGAGCTGAGTATTTCAGCAAAGCATGGAATTTGGCAAAGCAATTTCTGAACAATAAGATAATGATTATATTAATATGTGAACCAAAGAAATATAATGAAAAATTACTATAATGGGAGGCACAGCAAAATGAATTTCAAATCTTAACTATCAAATTAAACTGGAACGATTGCCTGGGGACCAATTGTAGCATGTTTACATTATTATCATCCAAATGATTACACTTTTGTTTTTAATGATACTACACTTGAGGGGATGCTGTGCCCTTTGGATGACAGTTACTAGAAAGTGAGGGATCTTGAAAAGTGGTCTGAAATCAGGAAAATGAAATGCATTAAAGATGGATGCAAAAGACTGAGTCATTGGTGGATTGCATGTAACATAAATCAACAAGGGATGATTGTGGTGGGAAGGAAAATATAATTCCTGATTGCCTTGACAGGAATTGACACGGAGGCAGTGAAGTTGCCGTTTTCCTTCTTGGTGGGGTTGGGGAAACCTCAGCTGAAGTACTGCATTCAATTTGGGATTTTAGGGGTCATGTAGACATTCGAGAGAGAAAATAGAGGACAGCAAAAAAAAAAAAAAAGATACTTAGAACGTACAGCATGAAGGAAAATTTTAATTCAGAGAGAATAATGTGAAGAAACAGATAATTTCATTCTATAGCTGAAGCTACTGGGAGATTACATACACCGAGCAATATAGCTGTGTCAGAAAGGACCTGCAGCACCCAACCAAGGTGGTGTGTAAATACCTGTTTGGTGTAACCTGTTCTCAGCTCTTTGATGCTACTGCAGCGTCAGTTTGTTTGGACTGAACTGTAGATGTGTCCAAGTTACTTCAGTTACAAGTTTGGATGACCATGGTAATGACTTGAACTTCAAAGGGGTTTGGTGATGGGCTACTATGGTTAGCTCCACTTATCCAATTTGGCTGGAAAACTCTTCCCTCTTCTTCCTTCGCTTCACGTATCTATAGGGCTAAGAAAACTTTCAACAACTCATTTTGTCCTTTCAGTTTTCAGGTGGAGGCCGCTCCATTCTCCTTTTGACTCTAAGTATCTAGTCACAGCTAATGTGTATCTTCTAAAAAAGAAATGAGTGATTTTAGTGGGGTTTGACCTCTGCAGTCCAATGAAAAGCAAGGATTCTCTCTGTTAGTGTACTGTGTTCTGCTGGTGGTGTCCCCTTGACTTGTAGATTTCTGTTGGCTCCAACAGATGCGTTATGTACCCCAGCTGCGTTAAACTTGTACTTTACATAGAACTTTAATAGTTATAGTGTAACTTTTAAATTTATGATACTGGCTATCAATAAAACCCATTTGACATAAATAGGATCACCATTACATTTTTACTCTTGGAAGCATTGTAACTCCAGGTGAGATCTGTCAGCAGATGTCAGGAAAAAGATTGTTGGTGCTTTAGAGTAGTTTTGCTTCTTCGTGGGGATAAATGAGATCAGATTTTGTTATCAAAACCCGCCAGTTGTGAAGAGGGGGAAGGGAAACCCCAATTTTGGGATATTTTTGTTACTTCGACTTCTGCTGGATGCTTTTGGTACATCCTAGAAGCCAAGTGTGATTCCTAGTACATGTACTCAAGGCCTTTGTCCAATGTCTGTTCTACCGGGCTACTATTTAAAAGTATTGAAGGTGGATGCAGACATACTGAATTGTTTTACCAGCTTTGAGCCCTAAAGCTATTGGTGAACATGGAGGAATTCAATCGTAGTCCATTTTAATATTAACATACCTCATCTTTGATCGCTTTTCTTAGAAAGTAAGTGGCAAATTGGACTAAGTTGGTAGTTAAAATTGAGTGTGCTGTTCTGTTGGAATTCTGATGCAGATAAATTATTCCACTTGCAACAAGTACTACATATATATATTTTAAAGAATTACATCACAATAGGATGATTGGAATCTGGCAAAGTTATGGTTAATTGAACTCAGGATTACATTTAACCTTTTCAGGTGTAGAATCCATGAAGGGTACTTCCCATCTTTTTTTACTTTCTTTAGATTTTGGCACATTGCTTGTCTCTCTTCAGAGAAGATTTTGAGACCATGATTACTTTGTAGAATTCTGGTACTTTTAACAAATGACTCTGGCTTTAATTATACTTGGGCAAGTATTTAAAAAAAAAATATCATATTTTGTCATTGATCACATCAGACTAATGGGACAGAAAGATAAAAATTACTCAAATGCTATCACTGTTAACTGGAAAAATCAGATTTTAGTGATCTCAGTTTAAAAGAACATTTCATACATTTGGCAAAACTTGCAGCGTTTAAGAGAAGAGCGATCTACTGTAAATATGAAGACATTCAATAAGGAGGTTTGGCACAGGATAATAATCTTTAATCTTTCAGTTGGGTGTTGAATACAAGGAGTAGGGAAAAGTTGATTCTAGAGACCTAGCTCAGCTCAAAACTTGAGTAAAAACTGTTCCAATGGAAGCTTTTATGCAGGTCATCTTGAATTTGTCTTCAGAATTACCTTCATTATAATCAATAAATAGATCACTTGAGATTTAGGTGTGCACAGTCCAGATGGCTCTTTGAAGGTGTTCATATAAGAATTACTTGTTGGATTTTAATAGAAGCTTTGAAAATGAATGGTTAAAAAAGATTCAGTTCTGATATTGAATGTTTTTTAAATTTGTTAATTTCTTTGTTCAGCTTAAACTGTGACAATAATGTTACTTGTTATCACATATGGGCCTAACCTCCAAAGGTTTTAGCCATCTGAGTGTTTGTCAGAGATTATGCTATAAAAGTTGATTTTATGTATTCAGTGTAATGTGAACTTTTTGCAAGCTATGCTATTTCAGATAGCTCATAGGTTACTGTTACTTGTATAACTTTTGTATATATGTATGCTTTGTATAACTTTTCTTTCGACGTTGTTGTAAGGACATGTTGCCCCCTTAACTGTTTAAGTTTCATGAATCAGAGTGGGTTTGGTTAACCATCTTCCTATTTACTATGGCTTTTTTTCTTGGTTGCTAGTATACTTTCGAAATGGCACATGGCCTCCCTTATAGACTCTTTTTGATTCCCCAGGGCAACAGTTTAAAACAGCCAAGGACTTGCATATTGTGCAGAGGAGAGAAATACGGAAATTAGGCGCTCACCATGGACGGATGCAGTGTTGTACTGAAAATCAAACTGATTCTCTGCCTAGTTTTTAATTAAAACGACTGTTAATTCAAAAAGGGCATTTTGGGCCTAAGGGGGTTGACCATGCCCTTTTAAAGAGCTTAAGTGCTCTTTCTTGCTATAGCTTATTTCTGTTTAATGGCAGTTACAGACTTGTGTTATCAGGAAAATAATTATAAACGCAATATTGGAGGTGTATAGTATATGTATGTGTATCTTTGTGTGTGCATGCCATGTGTGTGTTTATGCACACATATGTATTTTCATGCACATGAATTAGGTGTTTCAAGACTATTGAAGTAGTTGGAGGTTATTGTGATGCAGTACACCTTAGCTGGTGCTATTAACTGAGCTGTTGGAGTACCTGAAGTAACTAATCTCCTGCATCAGTATTAAAAACTTTTTCGTATCTTTCTATATTCTTCTTGTCTTCATTTATAAAGCCTGTGCATGAAATTATATTTCTTGTTTAGATACTCTTTCAGTTATTTGTCACTGGCCTTCTCAAATTCAGTTATGAAACAAAGGTGTCAATCGTGTTTCTTAATGTCAGAATTAACCTCATTCTTTATCATTCTCTCTAAAAGAGGAAATCGTGGTATTTGCAGTTGAGTGTCTGTAGTTCACAGTGCTGATGTTTCCATGCACAGAAAATTACACGTGTGCTGCTGTGTGAAAGAGGCAAGCATTTTTGAGGAGATGGTTGCTATACCTTTTCTTGATCTGTTAAAATATGCTTTCCCTTGATGTAACTTCAACTGAAACTTGTGTTTGTTTGAAGCTGACAAAGATGTTTAGGAGTAATTTCCTTGTAAGAAAATAAAAATAGTGCGATTTACCGCTGTGAGAAACTGGAATAACTGGGTATTGCATAGTCATGAGTGTAGAGTTTTAAAAAGGCTTTATGAAGTATTTTACCTTAATACTGATCTTTGAACTTGAAGTCATGGCATAAAGTTTAACATGAGCGACAGCAACATCCTGACCAATTATCCAAATTATCCAGACATCCCAAAATGTTCAGAACACAACACACAGAGTCTGTGGATTAAGAGGTTAAATCCTGGAACATCAAAAGGAGTGCATGATAATAAAAACAAATAGTACAAAAATTTGAGGTAACTTCCTTGCTTAATTAATTAGGTAGACCAGGTGGAAGCGAAGAGGCCAGAGCTGGTGCTCAGAATGTCTATAAAGCTGAGCAACATGACAGCACAATGGAGGAGGAACAAAGATTTTTTTAATATACTTCTATCCTGTGTCACAG